GTATATTACGCACGCAACTTATTCTCCCGTATATTATGCACGCAACTTATTCTCCCGTATATCACGCACGCAACTTATTCTCCCGTATATCACGCACGCAACTTATTCTCCCGTATATCACGCACGAAACTTATTCTTCCGTATATTATGCACGCAACTTATTCTCCCGTATATTACGCACGAAACTTATTCTCCCGTATATCACGCACGCAACTTATTCTCCCGTATATTACGCACGCAACTTATTCTCCCGTATATCACGCACGCAACTTATTCTCCCGTATATTATGCACGCATCTTATTCTCCCGTATATCACGCACGCAACTTATTCTTCCGTATATTATGCACGCAACTTATTCTCCTGTATGTTACACACGCAACGTTACAGTGTCGGCAGACTACACACGTTTTCAATTCTTTCAGTCCCACAGTTGAGTTCGTGCATGGAGTCCGTATCTGGTTAGGGACCCAACCTGCCAACAGAGTGTTTTACAAGCTGGTGGTGAATCTGCAAAGGCTAAGGTTGGTAAGTTTCTCACTGAGTCACTTCTACCTCCTCGTCATAAAAAATAGCCGGCAAAATTTCTCTACTGGGAACAATAAAATTAGTTATTTATAATATCACAATAGACGACGGTAAATGCGACGACACTGAGATCCCAAGATGTATTGGGTTGGCCAAAAACGTATTCGAAAAGCTAGGTAGAATATTACGAAACAGGAGGATTTCGTTGTTAACAAAGAAAAGAATACTGAACTGTTACGTAATATTTGTCGTTCATTATGGCAGCGAATGTTGGACGGTCTCCTCAGAGATGAAGAAGAGACTCGAGGCAACGGAGGTTCTGCAGAAGGATCCTAGGGATATCATGGACCGAGCGTGTGAGCAACGATGAGGTTTTGGAGAGGATGCAAACAAGGAGGAGTCTTATACAAAACACCAGGAAGAAGCAGCGGAAATTTCTGGGATACGTAATGAAAAAGAAGGACTTGGAGAATCTGATACTCACAGGGCGAATAGAGGGAAAGAGCGACAAGGAGAAGCAATTCGTGATACTGTCAGCTGTGTTCTATTCGCAAGGCCAATTAGTAAAAACATGAATCTGCCTTGTATAGACAGTTTTCAGTTTTTATTATAATTTTTTGTTTTCTTGTATAACCACACACACACACACACACACACACACACACACACACACACACACACACACATAATTAAATAAATAAATACGGTTTACTTATATCACAGAAACCAGTACCTAAAACTGGGACATTCCTGGAAAGACACTAGCTTTCTATGAAGTAAAAAATTGTAAATAAAAGATGCAGAATAAATATTAACTGCGTTTTTACAAAGTTGTACAATTTCATTCTTTTCTTTCTTCACGAGTAACATCACATTAGCGGAAAAAGTACTAATGATTTATTATTTAAGAATGCACACAAATTTACAGACACATATTTCTTTCTTTAGTTTTTGATCTGATGAATGCTATAAAGGCGAAACGCGTAATCGAATCTAGTTTTAATGAAACGGTTTTAATTTCTCATATTCTTCAAACTTCACTATCTATCTATCATATGATAAAATATGGTTTTAATGTGTGCTAAATTTATGGGTAAAAGTGCTAAATATTGAGGATAGAGCGTATGTAAATAGAAGAGTAGTCATTGAGTTTTAAATTCTGTTTCATGCTTGAATGTAATGTTCAGGCCGGAAGATTGCTTGAATAATCTGGACATATTATGCCTATTTATTTTAATTTTAATCCTGTCAAATTCACAGATTAATTTCTTAATGTTGGTATTAAATTCATTAAGGAAGACGCCGTAGTTTTTTTTTTTTCATTTCTTTTACTTTCCGACGTATTTTAAATCTCATCCGAGATTATCTTCAGGGGGAATTGCTAAGACAAAAACAAATAATATGAGAAATTCACGAGAACAACATTATCAAGGAGACTTACACTACATATGCCGGATTCAAGCTCTGTCGCATAACATTTAAGCAAACATTCCTGTCCACATTCACAACTGAGCGAAATAACAATACAAGTATACTCAACAATGAAAATAAAAAAAAAAAACAAATTCTTGAGGACCTCTATATAAGAAAAAAACAACCAACACTAAACAAGGTTAGTTATGATTACAGAAACAATGTTTTAAAATGTCTATAATAGCAATTATAAAAAAATACAATTATATAAATTAAAGTTATCCCTTAGTTAAAAACATAAAAAAAAGCATAATAGATTTAACAGTTCATTTTTTAAATTAATTATATCAGTATGCGTTCATACATATTTTTAAAAAATTATAACAGAGCGCGTTTCATGCCACCCAAAAAATCACAATTATCGATTTCATTAATTTTTGTCTTAGCAATTCACCCCTGAAGATGATCTCGAATGAGATTTAAAGTACTTACGAAAATAAAATAAAATAAAAAGCTACGGAGTTTTCCTTAATGAATTTAATATCAGCATTAAAAAGTCG